GTACCTGCCAATTCTCAAAAATGAGGATTACTCTAGAATAGTATTTTTGAGGGTGCAGTATGATTGGTGGAGGGTAGTTTCATGATCAGCACATTATGTAATGGTCAGAAACTGATGTAGTATAAAATACTGTTGCGCTATTAGTGAAAAATTTTAGCATTGCATAAAGGGCAGTCCAGGATTGTGTAAGAAAATTTTTACATTCATTTAGTGCATTTTTTTAAAGGTTTTAATTGTACTTAATTTGTATAATTAGTGATTTATTCTACCAAATATTCACTTTCCTTTTATTAGTAAATTATCAACTGCTGAAATTTTGAAAATTTCCTGCAGATGAGTCATAAAACTTCTACATCTTTCTAGTGCATGTAAAGGAGGCTTAATATACAAGTTAAATTTGCTTTATGTTTGCAAATATAGTGTCATATTTTGTGGACTGACTCAAATAAAAGTCTAAGAAATTCCTTGTGTTTCCTCTAATATTAGCAATATAATAATGTAACATATTGTTTAAGGACAAGGGAACTATTGGTCCATCTAGGCTGTCCCATCCTCTAAACTAAATTTATATTTGTGTCCCCTAGCCCTACCATTCTCACCATTAAATATAAAAAAGATGATACATCAGCATTATAAATTCTCTTAAGAATTTTAAGCACCTCTAACTCTTCTTTTTTCAAGAGAAAACAATTTCAGAGATCTTAACCTCTCCTCGTATGACAATCCCTCCATCCCAGGCACCATTCTATTTGCCCTCCTCTGAAGAAAAAACAGAATTCAATAATCCAGTCATCTCATAATCATCAGATACTAGCCTTCCTTTATTATCCTTCAAGGGTCTTACCCCTATTTTAACATTTTGTTTACCCTTAATGTACTTAAAGAAATACTTACTGTTAATGTTTTACATTTTTAGCCAACCTTTTTTCATACATCTTTTTGATGTCCTAATTTCCTGTTTGACCAACTTTCTTGATATTCTATAATCTTCTAAATCTCCCATTATACCAATCTAATTAAATTTCTTAAATTTATGTTTTTCTTTAATTTTATCTCTTATACCCTTTGTGGGCCAACCTGGTTTTTTACTTGCAGCCACCCTTTTTTTTCTATAAGGAATATGTTTATCTTGAATATTTAAAAATTTATCCTTAAGAATTTTCCACATTTGATCAGTGTCTCTAAATAACTCAGCTGCCCAATTCACAAGAGATAATTCTTGTTGCATCATTTCAAAATTTGGTTTTTTGAAACTTGTAATCAAAATATCATTATTTCTAATCTCAATGTGCACCAAACATCAAACCTATTACAGCAATGATCACTTGCACCCAGATATTCCCTAATTTCCACACTCTAAACAATTCTCTATTAGAAGTTAACAATAAATCTAAAATAACTTTGTTTCTAATAAATTCCATGACCAATTGGTGAAGAAAACCATCTTGAAGAGTTTTAAAAACCTTTCTCCCTCATGGTTTGACTCTAGCATTTCCCAATCTATATGCCTGAAATTAAATTCATCCATAATTATGACCTCATTAACAGCTTAAATCTTAATCTCACTGCTAAGTTTCTTACTAATTTCACCAGTATCACTTCATGGTCTGTAACAATTTCCCACTAAAAACCTTTTCTCTTTATATCCACTAATAGAAACCCAAATGGATTCAGTCTCCTTACTATTATCTCTGATATCCTCAACTTCAGTAGGATGTAACTCACATTTTACATAAAAACCACTCCTCCCCCTCTCTTTAGAACTCTATTCCTATTAAATAACCTATAACCCCGTATTTCAAAGAAATTTCTGTCATCAAAATCATCTACATTTAACCATGTTTCAGTTATTCCCATTATATCAAAATCCTTCATTGCTACCAATACCCTATAGTCATCTATTTTATTTCTTGTACTTCTAGCATTACAAAAGTAACAATTAAGCTTAACCTTAGAATTACTTCTATACATATTTCCTGTGCTAAATATTTCTCTGCATTTAGTTTATCCTGACCCTCATCACTGTCTAATCCTAGTTTAAAACTTCCCTTACAGCTGAGTTAATAGCCCTAGCAAACAAGCCAGACCCTACTCTATTTAAATATAAACCATCCATTCTAAAAAGCTCCTTTCTCCCATTGAACTGATCCCACAAGTCCAACCTACTCAATCTCACATATTAACCTAAGCCTAGCATTCAGCCCTAGTTGAACTACTTATAATTTCATCGTCACAATAAATTCTCAGCAACATCTCTGATACAATTAAGTTATGGCCCTTTTCATTAAATGCCTTTATCAACCCCATGTACTTATCAGTTAGCTCCTATGACCTACCTTTCCCTACATCATTAGCCCCCTACATCCACAACAGAAACTGCATCATTGCTGGCCTTTATTATATCTCTTGCTCTGTCAGTTACATCTTCCACCTGTGCCTCTGGGTAGCATAATATAATTATTTTCTTCCTGTTTACCTCACACATTATCCTATCCATATGCCTTGTTAAGGAACCACCTATAACAATAGCCTCAAGTCTATCATCCACATCCTTCTCTGACTCTTTTGTTTTCCTTCTTTTCAATAGTTCCTCATCTGCACAAGTCAGGCCTAAAATAGAATATGCTCATTACAGTTAAATCCACAATCATGCCTGTGGATTTGTGGCCATTTTTACAATAAATAATTGTGCACTTATGTAGTTTATTTTTACCTAATAATGAGTTTGATAGTTCTTTTTTAAGTGAACTGAACAGTGAAAAAAGAAAGAAAACTTTGTAATAGTATTTATGAATACTAGTGAAAAAAAATGTCATATGTTATCTAAAATGGATTTATTTTGTTTCATAGTTTATCACCATAATACCCAAGCAAGTATAAGTTATCTGGCTAGCATAAAATAAATGGACTATTAAAATGTGTATTATAGCTTTGGACAAAGCAAAGCCACTGTTATAAAATAACAGGAATCACTGTTATGTAAGTTAGGCATCAGATGTTCAGTTACATGATGTGAAAGCAAATGCTTGGACATTAAGTCTATGTCATATATATAGTAGTCTCACATAGTTTTGTCTAAGTTGTCACTTTTTAAGTGAATCATGAACTTAAAATGCCCCAAATTATTTGTGAACTGTGGCTAGACTTTGTAGAAGACATTTGGATGTTTCACTCCTATGGATTGTGATTGTATAAATGAAAACTGGCCAATCACAGCAGGCTGTTTTTAAGTTCACCATAAGTGTCTTAAATTATTACAAGCAGAATGTGAAACTACTTCCAAGTTAATTATACAGTTGCTCAGACACCTGGACAAGACATGGCATGACCTACAACACCAGCAGATGACCACTGTTGACACTGGCTTACAGCAATGGTGTAGTGTACCTGTTTACAACGAGACACCAAACAGCTTGCCTCAGTGGTGCCAAGAATATGCCCTATGGAACAATATTGTTTTTAGGTAAGACTAGTGTTTCAACATGTACCTAAAAAACATGCTTATACTTATTTGGAGAAACTCTTGAACCAGATTCAACCTTATATTCATACAGGCACTTTTAAGTGGATTGCTATCATTAATGGCAGGGACCACATCCTGTTACTATGTGTGTTGCCATATGCTGATGCAATTGGCCCAGACTTCAGCCTTATGGATGATTATATATGCCCCACTGTACTAAACTGATCAATACATTCTTTGAAGAAGAGGGGATTGACCAAATACAGTGTTCTGCATTCTCATCAGAATTAACTCTCATTGGGCATGTATGGGATGCTCTTGAGAGATGCATCACTTCCTTTCAGGTGACTAAAGACACTGAAGAAGTTGTCCAATCAGCACTTTTAGGATGTAGGTTCTGAAACTTACACATCACAATGCCCTCTACAACATTCTGCATCATGACTGAGGCCCCTCATAGTATTAATCTATAGATACTGAGTACCATAGTAGTATTGTATGTTTTGAGTATTTCCCCCCCCCCCCCCCATGGCTATCAGTTTGGTAATCCCTGCCTTAGGATATTGTCAACACCCTTAGTTTAAGAATGTTACCATAAAATGTCTTGAATTGTAAAGATGTAAAAACAACCTCTGTCACGTGTTTATTTGCAAGTGTAGGCTTAATGATCTACATAATAATTTGCATTTTAGATCACTTGGTTGAAACTAATTTATAAATGATTTCCTTGCTATGTCTGAAATTAAAATACCCATTATCCTCTGTTTTATGCAGTGTAATATCTCAGTCCAGTATTTAGTGCCATAATGGCAACATAAGCTAGGAAGTTAGACCTATTAAATAAAACTATAACAAAATTAACCAGGGGTGGCAGCCAAAATGCATGATTAGGCTTTGACCTACATTACAGGGTTACTAGGCAGTTTTTGGATGTGGTACTTCATTTGCACCCATGTGAAGTTAGTAACTTTAGGACTGATATTGGTCTCAACTTGTTATATGCTTTGAAAAATAGTCCCATATCAGATAAAGATTTAGAAAAAGAATTCCAGGGTTTTTGACTTTTTTAATATTTAACTCATGGTATTATAAATGAAGTTTATGTAGTCTTGTAGAGATTACCTGATTTGTTAATCATTGTGATTTGTATTGGAAATGTATTTGACAGTGTTTTTTGAATCTTTTTACACATGAAAATATTCATTGTGGTGGTAGAAGAGCTGCATCAAACTGAAAGATAAAAGCAATTTTAACGAGACTCACACTGTCATATTTAGAATTTATACATTTAGATAAATTTATCTAGACATAGGATTTATATTGACATTTATTTGATGATTCACAAGTTTATAATATTTGTGATAATGAACTGTGCTTTTTTTTATTATGACACAGCATAGCTTGTGTTTTTGAAATTGAGAATTTGATCCTTCAAAAGATGAATGATGATTTTATTATGCAAAATATGTTAGATGAAAACGTTTTTGCCTGAAGATTTGTTTATATGTCCCATTTAAAGAAATTTCATTTTTTTAAGCTTCAAAGTTCCAATGTGGAAGGAAAAGAAAGTGCTGCAAACTATCTAGCTAATTTAGCAAGTCAACCTGGTGGAGTCATGAAACTGCTTGAAGGAAATGTCATTAAGGCAGCTGCCCCTCTTCTGGTGGATAAAAGCTTTACAGTACGACATGCTGTAGCTGGAGCCTTAAGGTAAGTGAAATACAGAGCTGGGTGGTCACTGTATTTGCTGACCTATATATTGACAGTTTCACTAACTGATTACATTTAAGTACAGTGTTCCTCAAACCATAGTGTTTACAAACAAAACAAAAAAAAAGATGTCAGCAGATGCTGCCAGCTGGTTACTTTCCCTTTAGTTAGCAGTTCAAAAGGAGGAAAAAAACAAAAAGTTAGGGACAGGTGCTGCCAAGACAGTGGCAGATAGCCTTAGTAACAAAGACAGGGCAAAAATAGTTGGAATAATCAAAAATAGTAATAATTGGAACATATAATTTTGATTAGTTGATTATTTTCATAACATTTGATTTAATCATAATTTTGATTAGTTGATTATTTTTGTGACAATCAATATAATCATAATTTTTATTTACCAATTGTTGGAATAATCAGAAATGCTAAATTTGATTAGTTTATGTGGCATTACTTGAAGTAATAATTTCTAATAGGAAATTGATTATATTAATCAAATCACCCAATTGTAATATAATGCATATTCAAGAATTCAAGTACCTCATTTAACAAAGAAGCTGAAAAGGAAAATCTGAATTTTCATATGACTGTTCACTCTTTATTTGTCATTTGTATTTATTGGAAATTATTTCTCCTAAAGGGGGCCAAAGGCTGCCTGGAAGGTCACCTGTTTTAACCACTATACAGTAGTGTGTTGTCTGTCAGTTAGCCAGTAGACACTAAAATTACATTGTATAAGGGATGCTTCATGTTGAAATTTGAACTGAACTTCAAAAACAAGAAATAAAAATACTAGTTGCTCTTAATTTTGATTTTATTTAAAATAAAATCTTGAAACAGATCACTTTCAAGGACTGTGTCACCTGTTTTAAC